TGATGCTATTTACTCTGACCTGAGAGCAGCTATCCAGAGTTTTCCCCATTACTTGCTGCTTCTTCCAACTGGCAATGTTAGGGGTTGCACCTTCGACTTTCCATACACAAAGCATGCACTCTAGCCACTGAGAGATTCTTATCTCCAACAAAGCAATGTTAGGCATTACCATGTAGGCACCCACTTATCTTTCTCCCCACATCCACCCCCCAACTGCCTTTCATCACGCTATTGTCACCTCCTTCTACTAGGATGAGGGAAGCAGAATCTCCAGTGGGCTGAAAGGGCAGGGTCGCCAAATTTTCAACAAGCTTCTCTGCCACACATTTAACAGCTTCTCAACGCATGGGATGCAGCGAACGGAGATTAGCAAATGGACAGTAGCAAGTGGAGTACAGTGGTACCTCAGGTTAAGAACTTAATTCATTCTGGAGGTCCGTTCTTAACCTGAAACAGTTCTTAACCTGAAGCACCACTTTAGCTAATGGGGCCTCCTGCTGCTGCCATGCCGCCAGAGCACGATTTCTGTTCTCATCCTGAAGCAAAGTTCTTAACCTGAGGCACTATTTCTGGGTTAGTGGAGTATGTAACCTGAAGCGTATGCAACCTGAGGTACCACTGTATATTAAGGAGCTTGGCTTCACATTTAAATGAATTTATTATAAGAATTTTGCAATAAAATGCTGGTGCAAACAGATGGGAAAATGTGGAGAATTGAACTTCTGGAAACTGAGAAACTGAGAGGATCTGAAATTGGTCTATTGGTCCACTCGAAGTTCACTAAAAAGCAATCAGGGTGATTCTTTTCACCCCCACCCACTCAAACAGGCGGGATGTGATGAGTACAGTGGTGCCTCTGGATGCGAACGGGATCTGTTCCGGAGCACCATTTGCATTCTGAGTAGAACGTAACACGCAACTGCGCGTCTACGCGTGTGCGGGTCGCTTTTTGCCGCTTCTGCGCATGCGCGTAACGTCATTTTGAGCGTCTGCGCATACGCGAGCAGCGAAACCCAGAAGTAACGTGCTCTGTTACTTCTGGGTTGCCGCGGAGCGCAACCCGAAAATGCTTAACCTGAAGCTACTTCAACCCAAGGTATGACTGTAGCCACAAGCCAGCATGGCTCATCTTTAAGGCATTAATCCCCATCAGAGAAGCCCCTTTGGCTGCTAAGTCAAAGAAAATCCAAGTGCAAAGCAGCTCTCTTCATTCTAAGGCAGCAAAAATATTATGCAACCTCCACCCCACCCCCAATTCACCTCCTCCACCATTTCCACATTCAAACCTTACTTGTATTAATGATATCTAAGCTTTTCAAGAGACTGAGTTCATTGTTCATGCGCATCCTCTACATGTTTACCTCTGACCCCAGTTGTTGTTTTTCTCTTTCGATTCTGAATTCGACTCTAGAGAGAAAATCCTGGCCCCACATTTAGATTGTGCTAAGTGACTGAATTTAGTGACTTCTTGTTTGCTAGAATGCAAAGGAAACAAGGTTAGTCTTTCAGAAAAGGGAATACTGCAAGCATGTACTGTTGTACAGGGATGAGAAGCTGCCCCTCCTAAAATTCTCTCTTCTGGGCAGCTATTAAAGGCACAGAAGTGCTTGTCTTCCTTTGTATCTGACCAGGTTACTGGCAACTGTAAGGATCCCAGGAAACAGACTAGTAAACACCTGAGCTTGAGATCTTCCAAAGTCAGTGCCAGTCTAGAGCAGGGGCAGTTAACCTTCGGTCCTCTGGCTTTTGTTGCACTATGACTGCCATCAGCCCCAGCCAGCATGGCCCCATCAACAGTCATGTTGTAGTCTAGCAACATCTAGAGAGTCACAGGCCTGCTATCCCTGGCCTATAGAGAAGAACTGGGCACAGCCTGGGTATAAGGCAGCTCCTGTCATAACTGATGAAGCAGAAGATCTTATTGCAAATCCAGCACAGGGCAAAGGAGAGAAATAATCACTTCTGTATTGACAGATGGTGCAAATTTGACTTCCCACACGACAGGGAGGAGGAGTCAGCATCCTTGATGCATTCTGAAAACCTGCACAACATACCTGCAGTTGATTTGTGTGGCTTAGCGTTTGTTCTGAAAGATTTCCATGCTGGAAAAAGGTGCCCAGCCTCATTCAGCAGGTGAACACAGGGAGTCTCCAGGCAAGTGACATGAGGCTGGGCTGGGAAACCTGTGGCCCTGCAGATGCTTTTTAGACTGCAGTTCCCACCATCCCTCACCACTGGCCTTGAGGGCTGGGGCTGATGGACAACATTTGGAGGTCCACTAGTTTCTCTATCTGCTGACACATGCTCAAGATAAAACAGGTCCAGTCCTGCAAGCTGCCTTGATTGTCTGCAAACACTTCATAAACTGCTTGGCTCCAAGCTCCTCAGCATCAGCTACACCCAAAACTATGTACGTGAAGATGCTCCAACTACACCCACAAAGGCAATGACATTCTCTGGGTAGTTCCTCAGGACCTAGAAACCTGAAAATTGGAGTGCAAATAGTCCAAACATCCTCTCTTGCCCCAGTTATCAGGGTTTTGTGAACAATTCTCATCCAAAATGGTGGACTAAAAGTATCCTCCCTGCACCCCGCCAAAAAAGGTTAAGCTATGTAGTGCTGAGTTTGAAGACTACTAATACATTTTGATTGGTGCAGAAGGCAATGGCCCGGTTGTTGATTGGTTCTAGCCGCTGGAAACGTATCTCACAAGTCCTGGAATAGCTCTACTTACTTCAGGACCAGCCTCAGACATTTTGTTGCCCAAGGCAGACAAGATGGCTGCCTTCTCTCACTGTGTTCCATATGCAGAAGTTGACTGGGCTGGCTGTGAAATCTTACTTCAATACTGTCGATGGGACAGTGTCCTTCACCACACTCAAGGGTATCCAGCTATTTTAGGGGGTGCGGAACAGGTCGTGTGGCACTGTTGAATGATTATGTTGACTGGCTGGAGCTGATAGAAGTCATTATCTATAATATCTGAAGGGCAGCAAGCTGGGAAAGGCTAACGTATGACTACCCTGCCCACCCAATTCTGAAAGCAGCAATTGCATCACCATCCTTGGTGCCTCCTTGAAAAAGGAGTTGTGTTGAATTTTTGGCTCCTGGCACATTGGCTTCGGAGGACCCCCTTAGCTGCTGGCAGTAAACAAAGGCACAACTATTGAGGGGCAGAGGGGGGATGAGATGTGTGAAGAGTGAGGCTGTCCCAGAATTCCCTGCAAAGTTGCAAGGGGTTCTGGATTGCACTGCCACTTGTCATGGGGTCTGAGCTAATTGCATGCAGCCGTCATGCTGCACAGAGCGAAAGCCACAATATCGTCATGGAGTGACGATAGCAACAACAAGCACTCCATACCTTAAATCCACCATGGAAATGACCAAATCCACAGTCAGACTCTCTTGTTACTGAGAATCCATTCCTGAGCAATGCAGGGACAGATGGAAGAAAATGATGAGTAAAGCTTCTAAATACAGAATGATAGGCATCTACTGAGCATTCGAACATTGCAAAGGACCCAGGTGTGAGGATGAATAAGGCAACAGAACAGTGAAGACTTAACTGGTGATGACAGCATCACTATGCAAACTTTCCTTGGACAGTTGCTGGGGCTCCATAGCCCTGGCAGGACCTATCTGCCTTTGACCCCCTTACTCCATTTTAACTTCCCATGGTGCCCTGGAACAATGCTTCTTCAAGGGCATTGTGGGAAATAAAAATGGAGGCCCCCATTGGGAGGAGCACCCCTGCCACCATCAGATAAGCTTGCCAGGGGAGTGAGGGGGTGTGACTGGCATAAAAGTTGACACTCCAGAGGGCACTACGTTGAGGGCTCTGCTCCCCCAAGCCCACGGTCAACTCTGGTGTTGCATGGCGATATTGGGCCAAGCACGTTTTACCATCATAAGGACAAGCTCCAGGTTTCTCAGACCCTGCAAACAAATTTTAAAAGACCCCTGTAGTAAGCTCCCTCGATTCATTTTGATTCCACTGAGCATCATTTCCCTGCGTTCCAGCCCTAATCTCCAGTTGAGATTTCATAGTCAGTTGAGCAATGGTCTATGTGTATGATCTGTAACAGGCAAATGCTCCATCAGGACCAAACTGCACCGACCCACACACTGCCTGCTACTCAGCACACTGGGACCAAGAAGCTAACAAGCTCTTGGCTTTGTGTTGTTGAGCTCCCCAGAAGCAAAATGACGGGCAGAGGGAGGCATTCTTAAGTGCTTTTTGAAGGCTCTCTGCCATTTTCCAGGGGCCAACCCCCACGCCTGCCCCAAAGTCTCTTCAAATCCTCTTCCTGTCACACACTCATTCTCTGACTTGCAATTTCCCTCCTCGGCATGGCAGCCGCTTGTCTGCAATTATCTCTGGAGCCCTGGAAACGGGGGACAGAAAAGCGCTCTCTTCCCCCACCCCTTTCCAGCCATGCTGTGAAAACTGGGCCACTATAGGGAACTTGGAGGGCAGCTTGGACTATGTTGCTGGGGCATGGAATTCATGCCAAGGGCAGCTGGTGTGGTATGGAGAGGGTGAGCTGCAGCCTAGCAACAACCTCCCTGCCATCACCATAACAGAGGAACGCCGTGTCTGAGCTTTATGCTCAGCCAAGGCTATAATCACTGTTGCTTTATTGTGCCGGAACTCAATCCGTTCAGCTTTCATCTGTCCCGGGGCTTGGTCAGAGTAAATGGACGCAGCAGGGGAAAGCAGTGCTTGCTGCACTCTGGCAGCTATTAGGTGAGCACATCCTGGAGGCCTGGGGCCATTAGCAAGACAGACAGCGTAGGGGGGAAACAAAGACCCGAGCGACCCACTGCATGAACTGCTGGCCAAAAAATGGAAATCCTCCATAGGGCCTGCTTCTCTATGGGCACAGAGGCATCTCTGTGAGAGTGGTCCTCTGGGTAGCAAGGGCGGGGAACCTGAGGTACTCCGAATGTTGTAGGACTCTCCAACTCCAATCAGCCCCAGCCAGATTATTGGGAAAGGGCTGTAGCTCCATGGCAGAGCATCTGTGTTGAATGCAGAAGGTCCCAGGTTCAATCCTTGGTGTCTCCAGGGAGGGCTGGAAGAGACCCCTGCCTGAAATCACTGCCAGTCAGCTGAGACAACACTGAACTAGATGGTCTGACTCAGTATTAAGGTGGCTTCCAATGTTTCATGAGTAATTTTGGGGAAGGACCACAGTTCAGGGCAGCATATGCCTTGCATGCAGAAGTTCTGCTCTCTTGCAGATACCATCTTTCTCAGGAGGTCCGTCCTGCACAATATAGGAATTGGGCCTTTAGTGTTGGGGCACCTGCTACTGCATTGAAATGGCCTCCCCTTGAATATTAGACAGCCACAGCCTCTGTTGTCTCTCCAGCACCTACTGAAGACATTCCTCTTTCAACAAACCTTTTCAGTAGAGATCTGCACCAGCATCATATTGAAATTGTTTTTGAGATAAGATGTAGCTTGTTGTTTGCCACCCAAAGCTCCTTTGAGAGGAAGGGCAAGATAAATTAGATAAATAAAGCAATAAATAAATTAGAGCCTTGGGCGGTGCAACAGAATACTCTGGAAGGTGGTGAGCTCTCCTTGGCTGAATATATTTAAGCTGTGCCTGGGCAACCACCTGTCAGGGATGCTGCAGTCACACCCTGTATTGCAGATCCTGCACTGAGCAGAGGGATGATTTGATTCGATTTGATACTTCTCTTCCGCTTTTCCAACAACAAATGTTGAGCTCAAAGCAGCTCACAATAATCACAGAAGCATTACAAAACAACAAGCATTACAATCACTATATTATCCAACACAATAACATATAAATAAACCAAACTACAACAAAATAATCAAAGTGATTGATACAATTCAATGAAATCATAGTAATTCAAAATATCAGAAAATATCAAAAACCATTCATCAAAATGCTTGATACAATTCAGTGGACTAGATGAGCTCAAAGCTCCCTGCCATCATCAGAATTCTATTACCTACAATTAGACTTCACAATAAAGAGACCATGCAAATGGTTCAATCTGCTAGTCCTTCCCTTAGACCCTGAAAAATAGAAGCTACTTGACTCCCTATCAATCTATTCTTTCCCTTGGAATGCAAGGGAATCAAACCAGTGGCCCCCTTGCTGTCTCTCTTCTGCCTGGGGGGTTTCTAGTGGATCTCCTCCCTCCAATATAATGATCACACACACACACACACACACACACACACACACACACACCGCCAGCATGTTGTTTATGTTACTGGGGTTTGTGTGCCAAGAGTCTGACATTTGACACTGATTATTTTATTAGGTCGCCTTTGGTTTTATTTCATCACCGCATAATGCCATGGGCACCTTTGCAAGCTCGACTAATAAAAGGGCTATTGTTCTTAATCATTATTTATGTCTCTTTCAGGTCCAAGTACAGCCTGGGCACTTAAATAAATAATGGCTGGAAATTTCCCACTTCTCTGCACTTTGGGAAGAGACTAAGAGATAGCGGTGGGGGAGAAATTTGATGCCATTAAAAGCTAACCAACCAAATTTGCACTTCACAAAAGAATAGGTGGATTGCAATGCAGCTGTCCTTCAAAATCCACACTTCTCCATGTTTTGCAATGCAGTTCTCTAGCCAACTAATGTGTACAAAAATGCATATACTGGGGTAAAGCCTTCATAAAAATGCACATATTGGCCAAAAAAAGCATATAAAAATAATTTTGATTTTCAAAAAGTGCTTGCAAGAATGTGTGTATTAGGCAAAATTGCATTGGAAAAAAATGTCAGTAGAAGACAAAATTTGCTACTGAATGTTCATGAGAACTTTTTTTTAAATGATAATAATTGCAAACTGATGTAGAAATTAGAGAAATGAACTTATGATTGGAAAAATGAAAAAGTGAGAAAGACTGAAATGGATAGAACCATCCACCCTTTACTCAGAGATGCATGCAGAAGACCTAGGGGAGTTTTTAAATATTTGGCTGCTTTTCAACATTCATACCATGAATTAGACCCAGCAAAAGGGATGGAAGGCTACTTGCCTGCCAGGCATGGGGACAACCAGGGTGTGAGACTGAATTTTAACTCAAATGGGGGAGTAAATCCCCCACAGATGATATTTTCCTGGGCAAGCCAAACAAATGTATGATTTTTAAAAGAATCTAGAGTCTGCAGTGGGAGGGAAGGTGTCATCTTTTGATTAAAGTAGAATGAACTTAATTTTCTGAACAATTATCTTATTCTTCAGTTCACTTAACACAAGTAAAAAAGAACCCTAATATGATAATAAGTAGGCAGGCTGGGCCCATCCTTTAAAATCACCAGGTAGGTTAGGTCTGTCTAGGCTCACATTGAATTTAGCACCTGTCTTCTACTGACCACCCCAACATTTGTGAAGCTATCCCATGTGCTGCCAGGCCCAGGAGCTTTATCCCCAAAATATGCACCTGGCAGATTAGCTTCCATGAGAATCGTTTGCTGCAAAGTGCAAATATCTGCAGAGATGCAATGGGGATCGTAAGGACCATGGCTTAGAGGGCCAGTTTTTTCCCTCTCTAGTGGTTGTCATTAGTTTCCACACAGCTGCCCAGTGGTTATTTGTTTCCATTTATAAGCAGGGTTTCATTCTGTAGGCTGCCCCCAATTCATCTATTGAGCTCTGTCCCATTAATGTCCCAATCTATATGCTGATGATAGCTGATGCCCCTGATCTGCCTGAATGCTGGCAGAGACTTTGTTTGAAAGGCCTTTTTTTAAAGCCTAAAGCAAATGCCCAGAGGAGCCTTCTCATCCAGAGATCTAGTCAAAAGCAAGAAATCATCTCAGCAGAGAGAGACTCCAAAGAAGCTATGATATTCCCAAGTAGTGTCCACCCTGCAATTATGCCCTGTGGATGTGGAGCATGAGATGGAACCTCGAAGACTGGAGTTCATTTTGTTTTGCTGAAAGCAAGCTGCTAGCCCTTAAGACTACGGATAACACAAGCTTTTAAAAAACTGTGAGCAACTCCTGCTGGACCAGGATGGGCAAAATATTCATGCGTTGCAGGGGGTTGGACTAGAGGACAACTGTGGTCGCTGCCAATGCTATGATTCTATTATTTCCATTCTGAAAGCCTCCTTCACCACTTCGTATATGCATGTGGAGCCCAATGGAAGGATATAGGTCAGGTGGTGCAGACAAGGAGCTGGGATTTGTGGCACTACTAGAGAAGGTGAACCTGCCTCAGGTCTGTCCTGCCTGCCTGTCTGGCTTAGTAGATTAGAGACAAAAGCAGCAGCAGCCATAGAGGGGAAGGTGATTGGATACATCCTTGCGGTGTGCACCAAAGCAGCACTGTCTCTTAATCCTGACTTGACTTGGGGCACCCTTCCCCAAAATGTTGGCCAACAATGCTCCAAAGACCCCATGCAGAACCATGTGCTGGGGACTTCTGTCCATTAAGCCACAGGGCTAAATTAGATGCCATGCTTACTGCACAGCTGCATACCTTGTCTCGTGACATCACAAAAGCCTGATCATTCCACCCAGCAGATGCTGACTTAGGTGGCCCACAGCTCCTTGCTTGGAAAATGCACCACCCAACAGAGATCTCATGAGTTATCAGCCCCAGCTTCCTAGGTGCTCACAGATGCTGTCATAGAGGGTTTCGTGCATCAACAGGGGGTTGGAATAGATGGCCTCTGATGTGCCTTCTGATTCTTTTGCTTAATCGAATCAAGTTGGCTGTCTTCTCCTGCACTCCATGTTAGGACTAAGTGCAGACTGCCTGGCTTCAACATCAAGCTGGCTTTCCTCTCCCCACCAACCCAAACCCTGGCTTAGTTTGACATGCAGCCTGGTGAAGCATTCTGAAACACTCAGAAGTTTGCTTGCTGTTTTGTAACTGTTTGCTTGATCCAAATAAAAAAAGCATTTCCTGACTGTGTTTTGGAACTTGTCCCCCTGTTAGCACCTGCCCATAGAGATGGAGCACACAACTCGCATTTCATGGTCCTAAACAAGATGAGCAAACCCTCCATCAGATCCGCTTTGTTTTTCCTCCAGCTAAACCCTTATCCTTGAATTCAGACAGATGAGTCATTCCAAGGAGCTTTGGAAACCTTAGTCAGCACTAGTTGCGGGTAGAGCATTTGTAAATTAATCACCTCCAATTACCACATCTAATGAGGAACTAGGGTGGAAGAACATGCCAAGCTTCCGCCTCCTCCCCCCCTCGCCTCTCACCTGATTGACAGTTCCCAGTCCAACCACCCACCCACCCACTCCACCCTTCTCACAAGCCTAGGCTTGTTCCTCATGCACAAAATGTTTGCTTTGTCATCATCGCTGCGGCTGTGACTCAGGCCTCTTTACCATGTTTGAGAAATGCTGACTCAGCCTGCTCGCCCTCACTCTTCTCCCCTGGGTACATCAGACCTCTTCTGTCACATGCATAAAGACCCTGAGGGGTGGGAAGACGGGCAAGGTGATCCACTGGCAACCAACAAGCCCATTTGCATCAATGCAGGGAATAATAGATTTCTGACTCAGCACGTTTCATAATCGGCAGCTGAGCTACTCCTCAGCAATGAGTAAGAGGGTCTCTTTCTCTTTTCTTTTCTGCCATGTGCCCCTGGAGGAGCGGCATGAGACTGCTCCACAAGAGACCTGTTGATGTACAGTCACACCAGCATCATTCCGAGGGGATGGGGGAAACATGACGGGACTGATACGCTGAGAGAAAGCTAAACTGGAGAAAGGGATTAGAACATGACTCAGCTCTCCCTGCAGCAACATGCGTCAGACTGAGGTGCACACAAGTTTTGGGGTGGAAGTGAAAAGTTGTCACCAGCTCAAGGAGCAGTAGCAAGAGCAGAGTCTGTGAGCAAGGAGCTTCTCTAGGGAGTCATTGGGCATTGCATATCCTGCTCCAGCTGGTGCCTTACTGGTCTGCTCCTCCTGAAGTTTCTGTTCTGATCTATCCTTAGCAGATACCCACAAGGTACAGCAGCACCATGGACAGCTCCACATGGGAAATTTCTTCGAGAAGTTGACAGAGGCCTAAAGCAGTGGTTCCCATACTTTTTCA